TATAACCAGTCCACTGAGCCTCTCTGTCCCACTATAACCAGTCCACTAAGGCTCTCTGTCCCACTATAACCAGTCCACTGAGGCTCTCTGTCCCACTATAACCAGTCCACTCAGCCTCTCTGTCCCACTATAACCAGTCCACTGAGCCTCTCTGTCCCACTATAACCAGTCCACTCAGCCTCTCTGTCCCACTACAACCAGTCTACTCAGCCTCTCTGTCCCACTATATAACCAGTCCACCAGTGGCGGGCCATGCATTTGCAACATGCACCTGTTGGTGAGGCAACATCCAAGGTGTGTGCATTAAATTAATAAAGGAAGATGCTAACTTGTTTTTAAACTATGCCAAAATACAATAATACTAACTATACCCTGCAGAGGGCAGACACACCAGCAACTTCTTCTGTGCTGCAACTGCTGACTCATCTCCTGTCTTCTGTTCCATTCTAACACGGTGTATCGGGATCTTTAAATGTGACTTTTGTTTCTAGAATGTAAAGGAGCTGGAGAAAAAATGGACATTTCCTCTAAACTATCTCCCAGGTAAATATTTAAGTAAACTAGTCTGAAAAAAACACGAATACTTCCCACCAGTGAAGGACGCTCTGGGCGGATCCATCATTAGGAAACAGTGAAGCTCGCTATAAACAAAAAAAGGATTCCAGTAACTGGGTGGAAAAAGTGTCTTCAGTGGGAACCCTTCCTGCCTTTCACTAGTTTCCTTCTTTCCCACACCTCTTTCATATACTCACCCTCTCTGTCTGACGGCCTACACAGCTGTGCTGTTCCATTACACACCAGAAATACCCCACACATCACGGCATAGGAAGATATGACAGCCGTCACTTTTGACCTTCCTGTCCAAACTGTGACCGCATAGAAGCTTAGCGACGGCTCAGCTCGGAGTCATTCATGGAAAAATAGAAAAATGTAAAGGATTTATTATTTGCAGAGATGTTTACAGATGTGCCCCTTTTTACCTTCAGAAAGAGGAGGAGAAAGATCTGGTGGAGCTGTGCAGGCGGCTGATGGTCAATTTGCAAGATGGGAATTGCACCCTTACATGGCAGCACCACAACGGCAAAATACAGTTCGACTGTGTGGAGATAAATGGAAGAGGTGAGGCATTGTCCTCCTCTTTGGAAAAGTCACATTTGTCAGGTTGAATTAGAGGCCAACTGAATTTTCTATCTGCTAACAAATACACCTGAATGTATCTCACAGTGAAAACCAGCCTCGCGACCCAGTACTATGAAGAAATCACCAAGGTAAGGGTTAAGACATGGTATTGTCAGCATATTGAAACACTTGCAGAGTCAGTGACGGGCTCCGTGGTGTTAAGAGATGTCATTCTGGTATTGTATTCTCTGCTTAAAGAAACCAACAGATAGCAAAACCCTGATAGCCATCCTGGCCTCCAGTGGAGCTCTGCTGATCATGATCGTCATCCTCGCCGTTTGTGCCTCTCACCATCGCAAGCCGTACAACGAGAACCAGGTAGTGCTACAAAACGTCCCACAGGGGTTGACCCTCAAGGGCTCACATTACTTCAGGTTTTCTTTTGGCCGGTGTGGACGAATAGTGTTCCCTCTGTACCAACCAGTGGTTGGTCCCGTTTTGATTGATTTTTTTCCATACTAGTGTAACAACATGAGCAAAGATAATACAGCTGTCGGCAGTACTCAACAGTACTCAGCCCTGCTGCACACATGCCGGGACAAACTTCCCCCTTGATTAGAAGATTTATGCATGAAAATGAATACAAATGTAACTGTAAAACGTAAAAATGTCAATGCATAGACTTTGAATTAGTTTAAAGGTACTTGAAGAGAAACTTATTGTTTAACTTGGACCCTATTCTTCCATGTTTTTGTGTCTTAAGTGACTAATGGGGACAACAGTCTCTGAAATGGAGTGAGAAGCTGCAGCCGCCATACAGGCTGCAATGTTATTCCTCGCCGTCAATGTACGTCCACTTAAAGTGCTTGTTTTTGCCGCAGACAGGGTCAGATTGTTGTTATTAGTCTCTGACAACTTTACAGAAAGAACTTTGCAGAGATATAAAACCTTTTTCTTTTACCCTTCGCTTGATTCGCTCCGTTTGTCATTGCGTGTCTCGCTCATGGAGAAGTCTCGTTCTGAAATCTCGCATCGCATCCACATTGTAGAAATCCACTATTCAGCCATGAAGTTGAAAAACAACAAACTCTGATAATACCAGCACTCCTCTCTCAGACTCTCACACCCGTTTACACCGTTGTCTTCCCGCAACAAGTCACCTCTCACCGGATTTACGAACGAGACTTCTCCTCGAGCGTGACTTGGTTTGACGGATCGGATCGGATCGGATCAAGTGAAAGGTAAAGAAAAAGGTTCCATTTCTCTGTAGGGTTCTTTCCATAATGTTGTCAGACATTTCTAACAATCTGAGCCTGTCAGCCCCAAAAACAAACACTTTTAGTGACATACTTCAACCAGACATAGAAAATAAGTTTCCCTTTAACATAAATAAGCAGTATCAAATATGAAGACAGCTTTTAGAGACTTTGTCCCTTTAATCCCTGCAGCAGCACCTGACAGAGGAGCTGCACACGGTGGAGAATGGATACCACGACAACCCGACGCTGGAGGTGATGGAGGTGCAGCCGGAGATGCAAGAGAAGAAGGTGGCGCTGAACGGAGAGTTCAACGACAGCTGGATCGTCCCCATCGACAACCTGCTGAAGGACATAGTGGACGAGGAGGACACGCACTTGTAGAGAGACGACTGGGGACAGAGGAGGAAGAGGAGGAGGAAAAGGAAGAGGAGGAGGAAAAGGAAGAGGAGGAGGAGGAAAAGGAGATGGCGACAGAACAAACGCCAAAACAAAAAAAAGAATCCAAACTTCTTGCTCCATGCCAGCCCTTATCTTACACTCCTGACCCTGGAGGTTGTTGTCCCTGTAGCTAGAGAAGACAAACACATACTTCCTATACATCAGCCACGCCCCCACATTAATGCTGTCTGTCTGTTTGATATATTTCTACTCTAGTTTGATAGGAAAAAATAAATGAAGATTAAAAGTATCAAAGCCTTTGGGGATGAAGTACCAATCAAATCGTACAAGGTGGCCTTTAAAAAAACTCCACTAAATGTTTTGACTAAACATTTGTTTTTATAAGTGACTTCACACAATTCACTCTGAAAACTCTAAGTGCTCCAGACCAGACAAGAAAATTGTGCCTTTTCATAAAAAAATTGTACACAATCACCTGTAAATAAAGTACTTTCCAGTTATTTTCTGCGAGTGAGGAAGAGTCAGGTGACGTTGTTAAACGGATTGCTGGCTCCGGAGGCCCAATGAGGAGGAAGCTCAGAGAGGTAACACCGACGCCGGCTGCCTCCGCAGTTCTAGAGTTACTATTAGACGTAGAGGACCTCGGGGCGCTTCACAGCGTCTGGGCACTTCTCCGCTTTTGGCTGTGAAGGCGGCGCCGGTTAACTGTTCATTAAGAAAGACGATGTCCACTAAGACGCTTCTTTAGGTGAATAGAAAAAAGACAAATGGGCTTTTAATCCACAGTGCCACATTTTGAGGCCAGGGTGTACGGAAGTTTTGTTTTGCGCTCTCTCGATACATTTAACGTGAATACAAACGAGGGGAAAAGGTTCCAGCTTTCTTAATAAAATGCGAAGTCCGAAATTGGAGACGCGTAACAGCGGTAACTCGTGCCACTCTCATGTAACCAAACGATGATTTGTGAGAATCAGAAAGACTTAACTTGTTTCTTTATTTATTTATATATATTTATATATATATCTATATATATATATAAATATATATATATATCTATATATATATATATATATATCTATATAAATATCTATATATATATATAAATATCTATATATATAAATATCTATATATATATATATATATATATCACGCCTAGTTATACTTACACTTCAATTGAAGCGTTATTGACGTTACATAGCCGTCTGCCATCATCTTTTATGAACGCCGTTGTCATTACCGCGTTGCATTCTGGGATATTTATGCCGGCGCAGTTCCCAGTGTTAGCATTATGTAATATTTCACCAGAAATAGTAAGCAATTCACATACTATTGGTTTCAGACATACTGAAACACCTTTTAGAGTGCTAAATAGCATGCTAGTGTGGAACGCTTTGCTTCTGTCCCCTCTGGCTTTCCATACATGGAGGATATCGCTCAGTATTCTTTAAAGAAATATTTCCATTGGTTCAAAAATGTCATGAGCAATAAAACATAACCTTGATTACTTACGTTGATCTGGTATGAGTAGTAGCTATTCTGCAGTTTTCTAACAAAAGTCAAACAGGAAGTTGACACCTACAGATACGCATGTTGTACTCTGTGGCCACATTCATAAAAATGTCTTTAAAGCAAATTACTCGACAGAAATTAAGGGAAATGGAATTGTTCATTATTCTGTAAGTACCACCTGAGAACACACTGTCCTGCGTTAAAGCAAAAGAAAATGATCTCATGTTGCAAATTCGCAGTTTTATGTTACAAATGTATTGAAATTTAAGGACCAGGACACGTATTCTATTTTAACCTCAAAGAATGATCACAAAATAAAGTCCACTATTAGTCAAATGTTGCTAATAAGAATACAACTGGACTGATACTTGCTTTGCTTTTAAAAACCACCTCTTAGGTCGACACTGTAAATAGTTGTTTCTTCCACACCGGTGTTGCTGCTGGAGGGTGGAGTCTCCTGACATTTTAAATTGTCCGACTTGATATTAAAACCCTCAAAGCAGAACCCGGGCAAATGTCATTTTGGATTCTGTTCAGTTTGAATCATTTCTTTCCTTTTAAACCCATTAAGAAGTTAATATATATGTACTTGTATTCAAGTGAATCCATCACCTTGGGCACTCCAATCATCCTGTTGATTGCTTTTTTTATATTTTCGTTGTGTGTCTACAGTTTCACTTTTATTATAGCTGTGATGTTTTCACTAAAGTACGTTATCAGTATTTTTCATGTATTTATGGATTGTTTGCTGCTGAAGGCAAACAACAGGGGTCTGACACACTGGAAGCTGTAAATGGTCGATCGCCTCGGCGATCATGTTGTTCTAATTGTTCAGATTTGAAAATAAAAAGGCTGTGTTTGTTTTTTCACTTTGGTCCCACAGTTCTCCTGTTCTGCAGACACAGCACGGAGACGGAAGTTACGAAAACCTGAACAAAATACAATCTTTATTCATTATATACATTACATACAATGCAATACTACAGGGCTTTCTACATATTCACTGTATCCACAGTAGTGCTCACTGATCTGAGTACCAGCCTTAAAAACTCCTGAGTCCCACCCAGGGGTCAGGAGAAGGGCAAGATGGAAAAAAATAATAATAATGAAAATACCACTCCATCCATCAAACATTGTTGTGTGGACCGTATTTCCCCTAAAATAGCAAAAAAGAAAAGTAGCATTTGGCATTTAATTAGTCTTTTTTAACGCAGTTTTCTTCTGTCACAAAATGAAAATAAATGCTACGGCAAGCATGATGTCAAAATATAAATAATGTCCTCTCATCGCATTCTCATTTCATCAGATATACGAATTATTTTTGTTTTTGCTCTGGGGTCTGGTTTTTCTTTACATCAGCGTTTCCGCTTCAGAACGTTGCTATTGTCATCCGCCGGCAACAAAACAAGAGCACAAAACATTTTTTTGGGGGAAGTGCTGCTCCATCGTGGTGAATTGTTCCAGCTTTTACTTTCCTCCACCGATGAATTTAGTGATGTTTGTGTTGAGTCTGTCGCTCCATCGGTCTGAAATAACTACTCTCGTCTTAGTGTCGGTGAAAACACACCAGCAGGATCGATGACATGAAGAGCGTATCAGCAGAGCAGCAAACATCGCAGGTTTTACATGTTGAACTTCAGCGCGCATAATGGGAAGCTCTCCATTGTAGTGTAAACAAACACCTTATGAAATCTAAAGCAGGACGAAGCAAGTGAGGAGGTGAGGCCTCTTGGCTGAATTCACCAGGTAGAGATTTCACATCGAGTGCATTCAATGTAAAAGCATCAAAATATTCCATTCCAAGCTCAAGCAACACTTCAGGACCATACCACTGATTGTTTTTGCAACAACTCATGTTCCCTTAAAGAAGGAGTCGAGATAATATTGGAAAATTTGCTTTCTTGCTAAGGATCAGATGAGAAGATCGACACCACTCTCGTGCCTGTGGGCTAAATATGAAGCTACCGCCAACAGACAGTTAGCTTAGCATAGCATAAAGACTGGGATAGCTCCATCCTGTACCTTCAAAGATAAGAGCATAAAAGGTGAATTATCATCCAATAAACTCATAAATCATGTTCAATCAACCCTGAATTACACTCGTTTACAAATGTGACGCTCCAGTCAAAGTAGTGTTTAACATGAAAGAGATGTTTCAATTCACCAATAAATAAACTGACTTGGGTCGTTGGACCCAATTCAGCTCTTTTGTTGATGATGTCCTTTTGTCTTCAAGCTCATAAGCAGGGATTGCACTGATCCTGGACACAAATATGTACAAATTGAGGTTTAACAGTCGTAGCAGATGTGCCAGAGATGACAGCGAGTGGCGTAGTGTTCCAATGAAGCCCGGTTTGTTATGAACGCAGCACTGGGAGAGACGATCGGTGTTGATGGAAGTCATGGAAGACAATAGATGAGCAAACTGAGAGAGCACCAATGAACAAGGACCCCCACACATCCCCCAGTGATGATTGGCTGACAGCAGAGGTAAACCTTTCAACTTCAACACTACGCGCATGTGAGCAGGTGAATCATTAGAGCAGTATCTGACATCAGCTCCACTGTCTGCTGGTGAACTCAAACACCACCCTTACTTTTTTTCCGTCTTTTCGTACAGAAGAAAACTTGTTAAAAAAACTGGCCTCTCAAACAGCACACCTTTTTTTTTTTTACCCTAAATTTTGATATTGCATGATTCTTTTTTTAGTGATGCTACAACCAATATTTGACATCATGTGTGAGGGATTATCGGAAACGTGTTAAAGACATTCCAGAGCTACTGTGTTGGTGGGAACCCGCGTCACTTCTTCCTTTACCAAACAGATCAACTACAAATCAGCAGTGTCACATTCCTCCTAATGAGAGTACATCTAGTGTCATGTTTTGTAATGGAGGACGCTGGTTCTGCTTAAAGGGACCGTGTGGATGTTTAGAAGTGGGGTTGTATGAGGTACTTCTCCATAGTCAGTGTATTACTACAGTGGAAGGAGTTTGAAGAACCAGACCGTACACAGGAGCTGCTGGTCTACTGCCGCCTTAATTGGTTAGTTTCTTTGTGTTATTGTGTGACTTTGGTAAATCCAAACTAACCCTTTAAAACACCAAAGTCACACATAAACACAAACAAACTAACCGATGGAGGCAGCGGTAGAGCAGCAAACCCTGTGTTCTGAGAGCTAAAACTACCGTTTCTGTCAAAGAAGTCTGGTGGCTTTGAAGAGAGCAGAGATAACGGCTATAACTCATGTTTGTTTCTCCAAACTCCATCTACAGCAGGAAATACACCGACTCTGAGAAGTACCTCGTACAACCACACTTCAAAACATCCAAACTATCCTTTTGCCTCTGCTGTAACTTCACAAATGTATTCAGGCCGACTTGTGGGATTTTTTGGAGGAAAAAAAGGAAAATCTCAGTGATTATTTCATCACACTGAGGAACATCTGGTCAACACACTTTGACACAAAATGCCCTTTTCCCCACTCCAATAGTCAAACTGGAATACTGGCACCAGCACTTCATTCGCACGCGCACACCAACCGCTTTGAATTCTTCCCAATAAATACGAGTAATTCAATGTAGAGCCAGCAAGTTGCTGTATGGGGACCCTGACTTTTAGGTAAAGAGGAACAAGAGAGATCATGATCCAGCACGGAATCGATTCAATGCACACCCAAAAAAATTAAACAAAAAGAAAATCCCTATATGTATATTTACATATTCTGTACACCATTTAGAATTAAGTCCATAAACTAATGAGGGGAAAAAAGCCAGTTTTACAACCTAAACCAATATATAAAGGTATATTTAGATATATATTAAGCTTTATCTCATGGAATCATTCCTCTATTGTTAATACAACACTATTAAATTGTTGTGGCCTCTGCATGGCCGTCAGGAATCGGAGCTGAACGTGTTGCAGAGAAGCAAGCGAACCAAAATGTAAGTGTACTTTGGGATCTTGCAGGAGATGCTGAAATGTTACCAAAAAGAACAGAGGATGAATTTTTAACTGGACTTTCGCAACAATTGGCCAGAACGGACGTCACATGTTTCGCTATAAACACGTGAATGGACGCCTGTAGGGGGCTGTGCGTGGGTGTGGGCATCGGTACGAAGCACAAATCCAATACGAAAAACAGGAAAAGTCTATGAAAAAAAAAAAGAAAGACTGAAAATAAATGCGTGCATATCATGTTTTCACTCTCCAAGTGAAGATGAAAAACACAAGCGATGTTTGGCCGAGTTTAGAGGAGCTTCCAGAAACGTTCATCAGCAAGAGAAAACCCAAAAGGGAAAAGAGAAACAGCTCGGGTCGTCGAGTCTCACACATATCCGAATACCACAATGTTGTTGTTGTGTGTGTGTGTGTGTGTGTGTGTGTGTGTGTGTGTGTGTGTGTCCGACCCTCACCACCGGCCGATGCAGACCGTGGCAGCAGCAGGAAGTCAGTGTGACGGAGTTCCAGATGTTTAATCCCACCAAACGGATTCAGGAGTAGAAAAATAACTGGTCTCTGTCTCCTACGTCCCAACCGGGCGTGCGGATGGGTGGGTGTTCAGTCGGTTTCCAGTGGGGAGGGGAAAGGTGTCGGGGGGGCTAGAGCGTGATGAGGTCGACCAGGTTGCCCTTGGGCGGAGTCATGCTGTCTGGGAAGAAGTTGACGAGCGTGTCGAAGAGCTGCGTCCGCTGAGCGTACGTCTGGTCCACGTCTGAGAAACCTGAGAGAGGAGAGGCAGAAAACAGAAGGTCAAAGAAGAGATGGAGGGCTTCCATCATGATTATGGCAAGAGGGCTAGAACAGTGTCACGCTGGGTTCATGCATACGCCAATCATAACTTCCCCACCGTCAGTAAAAGCCCAAAGTATCGGCATCAACATCTACTTTAAGTACCAGAAGTTAGCCATTAGCAGAATGGCCCATTTCAAATAATAGATGTACGCTCAGCTAAAAACACTTTATATCTACTTTATATACTTCATAACTGGTCTATATACTACTTAGCAGCCGAACTAGTAACTAATATAGTCAAATAAATGTAGTGAAGTTAAAAGTACATATTTCCTCTGAGATGTAGTATAAAGTAACATGAAATGGAAATACTCAAGTACAAGTACCTCAAAATTGTACTTAAGTACATTACTTGAATAAATGTACTGAGTTACATTCCACAACTAAAATATGACGACAGACATTCAAAGCTTCATTCTAAAACCTCAGTAGAAGCTTTGAATGTAAAAAAGTAAAGCGCTATGGGTGACTTGATAAAATCAACAAATTATTAACTATTTCAGAGACACTAAATACTGAACCTGATTCTTGTTCATATCAGGACACACACACACACACACACACACACACACACACACACACACACACA